TCTCTCTCTCTCTCTCTCTCTCTCTCTCTCTCTCTCTCTCTCTCTCTCTCTCTCTCTCTCTCTCTCTCTCTCTCTCTCTCTCTCTCTCTCTCTCTCTCTCTCTCTCTCTCTCTCTCTCTCTCTCTCTCTCTCTCTCTCTCTCTCTCTCTCTCTCTCTCTCTCTCTCTCTCTCTCTCTCTCTCTCTCTCTCTCTCTCTCTCTCTCTCTCTCTCTCTCTCTCTCTCTCTCTCTCTCTCTCTCTCTCTCTCTCTCTCTCTCTCTCTCTCTCTCTCTCTCTCTCTCTCTCTCTCTCTCTCTCTCTCTCTCTCTCTCTCTCTCTCTCTCTCTCTCTCTCTCTCTCTCTCTNTGCGGACATTATTATGTAAAAAAAGGTTATTATGAGGACAAAATCGTACTTATGCCGACTGTCCTCATAGTTTATTAATGTTATAAGTATATATTCTAAAAGCACGTAAAGTTCGCATAAGTCACCTTACATAAAGATATATTTATATATACTTGATAATGGAGGTTCGCTTTCTTGTCCGCTTCGCGCGCTGGCCCCCAACTTTATTTGTTATTCTATGCTACTTTCGGTGAAAACAAATACATTTACATAAGAAATTAATTTGTGCAATATAAGACAGTTATGGCTCGGCATACGTGCAATAATAAAAATTGTTTGCCTTCATTCTACATTTAGTGATGTACTCGGTATAAAGAATTTTGTTGTCCTTGATAAAATTTTTATATAAATTAGCTAATTGTATTTAAATGAACCTACTGCTTCAAGCTTTATGTGCACGATTCTTATTTTTTAATTTATGAATGGGAAAATTATTTTAATTTTATCATATTCTACTTTAATACGAAATGTTTACAATACTTTTTTAGAAATATGTGTACATCTTACAGTATAAAAAGTATGTATTAAATTACACTACTGATTTTGTAATTTGATTCAATGTTATTTAAATTTATTTGTGTAAGTATCATGTCATTCAAAGATAAATCTAAATAAAAAAATTTTTAAACATTTATCACCAATATTACCAAAAAAAAGCTTAGCGCCACAAAAACTTTATACTTACTAATGAATTAAAATAGAATTACTATAAATTAACTGATGATCTTACTCTTAATTGTATAAGTAAATAAATTAATTATTATTCATATGTTTTGAGTCCATCTTTTGTGTCTGTGTTGAGGCTGGTGAGATATCTTGGTGAGAAGTAGGAGGAGACGGGGTATGGTTGTGACAGTGGTCATATTGGTGAAACTGTAAAATAGAACCGCCAAATACAAAAGGGGGAAGAATTGAAGTTCTAGATCACTTGTGCTTCACAGTATAGCATCAGCTGTCTTGTGATGTCAGCGACAGCAAAGGCCTACATTGCTTTTGGGGAGTGAAATGTAAGTATTTTCATTTAATTTTTTTTTGCAATTATCGCTGTACATGTACCAATCGAGCAGTAAGTATTTTTCCCCTTTATAAGATACACATTAGTGCATAAAAATCAGTGATTACTTTTCATGTAAGCTATGTTGTGTTGACATGGTAATTTTTTTTTAAATGAGTGCGGTGGGTACGGTTATGCCATACTGCCTGGGTACGGTTGTTACATAAGTATAATTAATTTTTTTCTTTTCAGATGCCTTGTGAACGTTCCAGGAGAACGGAAAGAGGTGCACGTAATGTTGAAAGGCATACAATGATACAAAGCAAGAGATTTCTGTACGAAAAGCTGCAGAAATGCACCAAGTAAATCACATAACATTATTGCGATACGTTCGTCAACGTGATGCAGCCAATGCGAACGGCAATAACGGAGGCAGCATCAGTATAGGTTGTGTTGCTTACAGCAAAGTCTTTACTAAGGAGCAGGGACAGCGGTTGTTAAAATACCTACTTCGTTGCGTGGATATATACTTTGGGTATATAATATCTATGATAGTAAGTGATACTATTCAAAAGTAGATATAAGACATAAAATTTTCTAAATTTGATGCCGTTAATTGAAAATTGATGTTAAATTTTCTGAAAAGAAGGTGCTGTTACCTTATGTTACACATAAGATACAATAAAAGTGATTTCAAACTTTTTTAATGTATTTTTTCAACCTGTCATAACCGTCCTCAGGCATTGTCACAACCGCCCCTTGGGTGTGGTCGGTTGTGACATTTTTTTTTTTTAACAACTCGTGCGTATAAACGGCTGTACCTGTAGTCATAATTTTTGTACACGTGTAGAGGAATCTTCAATTTATCTTGCCCAGCAATTTTCATCCCACGGAGTGTCATACTTCTAAAGTTACGGATTCTCAAGTAAAAATTAGCACAACCGTACCCAGTCCCCCCCGTACTGTATATCAGAATAACAAAAATAATATTTGCATACTCTAACGATGTTATTAATATGTATATGTTACCAGCAAATAATGTCCTCTAACATTTATGCGTGTGTGTATTAGTTCACTTGTAAAGGATATATATAACTGATGAAAATAGAGACATTACTAATCTTGAAAAAATAGCTCCAAAGTTTTTTTTTTTTTTTTTTTCATGTAAAATGACTAATGAAAATGAGATAGTGTTTATTAACAGTCAAACTTGTGAAATAATCCATTCAATATGCTTACGTTAAAGTAATAACCCTACACTTGCAATAATAATTACAGTTATTTCGTACATCCCAAGTCTCTGTTATCTCTCCTTAAACTGATTACCTGAAAGCCCAGAAAGTTTTTTAAACCCTCAAGTTACGTACTTTCAGGTCAATTAATATTGAATCTAGTAAATTTTACGCCTTGTCAAATACTAAGTAACTTCAAACTATGAAAAAATATATGTTCGAAGCTCTTATCACCTGGAGACGCAGTAACTTTATTTTTAACTTATGTAATTCAGAAACTCAGAAAATTTATATCATTTACAACCCTGAACCTTGTAAAATTTTGTAGTTAAAACTCTTGATATTGAAAAGTAGGAGGGTCTCGTTCTCTGTGCGCTTCACTTGCTATCCTCCATGTGTCATAACTAAATAATTATTGTGTTACTTGTAATTTATAACAAAACACAAACATTTGCTAGATACTTTTGTAATAATTAATAGAATTTTAAATTCGAAAACATTCTGCTCTCAAAGTTACACTCCGTTGGACATAAAAATATGATTTCTTATTATACTTTCTTCATAAAAAATTCAAGTCTTCATTCCGTTTTGACATGGACTGAAACGACGTCTCAAAACTGTATGACTTTGCAATTGTACGTCGAGATAGAGTTCTATAAGACTATAGTAAATGCAAATTAAAATTTCTGATAAAAACCTGGTGTTAAATAGGGGAGTTTTTTTATGTTTACTAGATAAGGGTGCGAATACAGACAACTTAATTGTGGATTCAAATTTCTGAACGAAGCCGTGAAGTAGTATATTTTTCTGGAAATCTCGGAAAAAAATCATTATTTTCGGAATTCTTATGGAATTTTTTAAATTGCCAAATACCACCAACAGCTTAATGTAAATAAGATGAAATGCATAATTTTTAATTATTGATTATGGTAATTATGATGTTTCTTGCCCTCCATTTTTGTATGAATTAATAATTTTTTTGAGTTGATCTTTTGGGGCAAACTTTGATAATAGAAAACACACACACCGCATATTTTTTTTACACAGCAACGTTTCGTTGACTGGAGTGTTGACCTCTTCAGGCTTTATTAACAAATTCAATAAAAAAATCAGTACAAACCAACGAATAACAGACATAAAGTACAAGCGAGATAAATACCTTAATTACAAACACTAAAGGGAAAGATTTAACGTAACCATGTTGGTTCGCACGCAAGTCAAGTTGGCAGAAGCGTCCACATTTCGCAAAGTTGTCAACTTATAGTAGAGCACACATATTGACACAGATATATCATGAGGTCAATGTATCGAACTGATAGACATGGTCAGTAACGTATATTTTTGAAAAATTTTTTATAGGTTTGACTAAAAGTGTATAGGTTCTCTTCCTGATTTATATTATTGTCGTCTGACACTATATGGAGCATTTCAGGAATCAGTCGTTTCCTATAATTTGGCTCCTTGTCTACAAATGGCCCCCCTGGGTGTTGACTCTACGTACCGACAACCTTGGCCTTGGCTTCCGTGATGTTGCCACTGCTATTGTTATTATTGTTAACGCCCGCCTTGTTGCTGCTGCGCACCACCTTGTTTCCATTACTAATCGCTCTGTCTCGTTCTCGTATATTTTGCCGTAAAGTATATATATTTTTTGTTCTTAAAACATGTTTTTTTTTTCCTTTCACAACTGAACTGTTACTGCTTTTATCTTTATTTTCTTTTAATTCTTTTTTTTTTTTTTTTTTT